GAAGCGTTTCCTGACTTGTTACATTTAGATGGAAGAGAACAGATTCTACAGGAAGGCAGAAGTCGGCCAAGTAAAATGCAGCTGGATGAATTCCTTTGCGCTCATATTTTTTAGGGCCGAAGATGTCAAAAATTGTATGGGTATACAGCTTTGAATACGAGTACTCGACAACAGAAAATTTCACGGTTTGGATAAATCCGTGGTCACCCATATGAAATGAGAAACGGGTTGGGTCTGCATAGATTGTGGGAAAAAAACTACGAGCGTGAGCACGAGCACGAGAATGAACATGAGTGCTTTGCGGAGCATTGCGTAGATACCTCAAGGAAATATCATCTAATCTTAATGCTTACGACTCTTTTAGTCAGTATTAGCGACATGCACATTTATTTTGCAATTGTCAACGAAGGCCAGCATGTTTGGGTGCAAAGCTTATGACAACATGTACTGTGTTTTTAAGTTTTGTCAGACTTTTTGATAGGATGGATTCCTGGGGTCAGTTCCCACGTTAAGCATTGGTCCTTGTGAGAGCGCTGATACCACCGTCCGATGGCAGAATTCCAAGTCAACAGCCGTTTTGACGAATGATTGCGCTGCGAGGCTTGGAAAATGCTTTTGTAAAAGGTTTTCGGCGTCTGTTTTCGACAAAATTTCATCGGTGGTTTTTAAACAGAAATATCTTGCAGTGATTTAAAACTATGTTTGTAAAGATACATAGTTTGATAACATTGCAGTTGGCTGGCTATAAGCCAGATCATTATTTTACGGGCTGGTATAATGCGAGATCCCTTCCTCCCAAAACTTCTCTAAGCTTCCAACAAAAGTTAATGCTATGTCTGACGTAAAGACGACAAGATAAACTCATAAATCCTGACCGCCTCCCTGCTCATAGGTAGCTTACCACAGCTCAGAAGAATGCGTGGCGGTACTTACAAAGCTTGCGTGGTTCAACATGATCCATGATTCTTGAATGGAATGAAACTCAAAACCCGCTTTGCTCCCCACAGCACCCATGTAAGCAGTAATCACGCAGCCAGCATCCAACGCTTTCAACAGCTCACACGGCTTATTGCCAGGCCTGGTATGCCCCCAGAATGTGAACAAACGCAAGGCATGAGCTGAAAACAAAATGTCCACAAAGAGCATCGTTTCATGTAATAAATGTATCAGTAGTTTGATGCATGTCGCTTAGCAACTGGATGCCAGTGAAATTGTATCACAACAATAATTTTCTCGCCAGAGTGCTTAATAAAAAAACTTCGTGATTTCCTTACATCCCGTTCTGCCTCTCAGTCTGGGACGAACCGGCGCATGCATTTTGGTGTGACCTAGATGACTATGTGCTAAAAGATGGCGATATGATCTAGTGTGCTGTCTTAACTGGTGCGCTGGGTTTTGTTGGTGCTGTTCTTTTATATGCATAAGTGCAGGCTATTCATTAAATAACTGACGAAGTGAATTGTCACTTTTGCTCGCGTGCAGTTTTCTTGCCACGCAGCGTCAGTCTATGCGGCGTGCATAGAGAGAGAATGGATGTCAGAAGCCTTGCTCTCCTCATATGTGAGCTCTATAACCGTAGCGAACTTAGTGGCCTGTATCACAGCTGCAAATGCCCACCTCCACGCGCGCACCGAGCTGATGTCCGTCCTTAAATGGTATGTTTCACATCCGAGGATATTAGAGCAAGCATCAGATATGATGAAACAAGCTTACGCATTACTATTGGTATGCTTTTTTGAGAAGAAAGGAATGTTCAAGACGTATGCATGTTCATATGTTCTGAATGACAGTAGCGGGAGTGCTTGTGTAGCGGTCCAGAGGGGACCGTTTGAGCGGCTCAGATTGGATCACCGTGCGAGGTGTGGCGCAAGCAAACCTGCCTCAGAAGGCCAGCATTGGCTAGTGATGAATCCTGCGTCAGCACTGATACGCAATCCATGCCGCGGAATAAAACGGGAATCAGGCTACCCAGTTCCATCCATGACATATTTGGAAGGGGGCTAGGGGAGGCCAGGCGTGTAGTTTCCTATGCATCACGGTAGGGGGCCTCAACAGCTCGGCATTCGTGTCATGCGATGTCATCCGAGTCATTACGATTTAGAGCTTCTATTGCTGAGCCATCGGCCCGGTTTCTGAGGTCCGTTGCGCCAAGTGATACAAGCAAACGACCTTCCGAAAGGCCCCTCAAAAATGCTTGAACACCAACGAAGAAGGCCCTGCGACGCGGACCCCCAGCGTTCGTTAACTGTGCGACAATGGCGCTCTAACGGTCAGCCTGCTGCTGATGTGCGTTAAGTGCAAGTTTCAGCAGCCGCAATGGCTGTCTTGCATCAGCAAGCATCCTTCGGAAAACCTGGAAGTGGGTGACGAGCCTCAAAAGCAGCCATCAAGTTCAGCACATCTCAGTGCTGGAAATGCGTGAAGGACATACAGGAATATATGCGGGAATTCATGACAGACAGACAGTAACGCAATATGCTATGCATTGAGTCCAGGATGAATTTTGTGTGTTTTTATTGTCGGGAAATTTTGGCACTTTCGACCATGCAAAATTTGTTCTTCTCTGCTCGTACACAACAGTTTGTCGATTTCACTCGTCACGAACCGGGCTACCAATCGGTATCCGTTTCGCGTAGATTAACACGCGCCCGGGTGGACGGTTGAATACCCTTCGCTCTGGCGGGGGTCGAGTTGACCCCCTATCATCTAAAAAAAAAACTTACAGGTAGACGTACAAAATTCACAGGGCGGACTGACCTGTACGTTAACTCATTTTTGTGTCAAAACTTGAGGTTACTAGGTGCAGGTTACTAGGCGAACCCTCTACAGCTGTGCGAAGGTAATCATCCATGGAGATTTTCCATTTACACTCGACCGGTCAGGAAATTATCCCCCAGATAAGTCTCCCAGGCGCCATCCGCTTGATGCACAGTAATGTTGTGACCGCGCGCAGTAATGGCGCCGGTGTCGCGGCTGCTGTGTGTGTGCGGCGCTCGGGAGCTCACCATCGTAATTGTAAAAAGTCGAAGGTAAGAGCATGAATCTACCTGTTTTGTGATTATTTACGATATGACCTGCCTTAAACACGACGAATGGTGTACAATGATTTTTTTCTAACGTTAGGTAGGGAAGTATACCCTGACCGAAAATAGCAAGAGCTCATGAGACAAGACTAAGCTGGCCAAGACAAGACGTAAACTAGACAGTGAAAGCCACTGCTTGTCTCGTCATTTTATCATAATGACAGAGTCAAACGGGTGTTTTGAAACAGATGGGTGTTCTAGTTCTTTGCACTCCAAGAAATCCTTGCAACAGTCAAAACTGTACCAAATGCAACATTTTGTAATCCAGTTCAAGCTCAGGTAACAACGAAACTTGTGTATACTTCATAGAGCCCAGAATTTAGGCTTTTATTTAAACACTCACAGTAAAAAATTGTGTGCAAAACACCTTAAAAAAATGTTATTGCTGGCTTGGGCCTTGCACACTGCTTGCAGCACCACAGATTTAGTGGATTGACTGATTGACAGGTATGTGAAAAGATGCTTTTTATTATCATCATATTGTATATAGAGCTAGATGAAGGTGATAGAGGTGTTCACAAATGTGCTGTGCATCTGCTGACAACAAAATTGTATGACTTTCGTGCTAGATTCTGTTGATTGAGACTGTGCTGGGTAGTGAGAGACCCACACCGGTGATGCCCAAATTTCAACTTTCCAGACATTGTCTAAGTGCGCAGATTCACATGGAACTTGTTATCAAGTTGCCTCGCTATTGTCTGAAGGGAATATACAATGAAATTCCAGCTTGCAGCCCACTTGCAACCACAAATTTTCTTTGGAGCACAAAGACACAACCAGACATAACCCCATCTAAGGGACATGTTCTGTGTCATGAAATATGAATGGCAGACAAAGCCAGTGGCACGCAAAAATCCCCAAAAGCGTGTTGGCCCATGCACAGCTCCACCCAAGCCAAAGCATGCCAGGCGCCTGCTTCTCGGGCAGCCACACCAGCCCGCTCCAGAGGAGGCACAGGCGCAGCCTGTCCCAGAGGAGGTGTCGCTGCAGCCTGCCCCAGAGGATGCACTGCTACAGCCTGCCTCAAAGCTGCAACAGCTTCAGCCTGCACTAGAGCAGCAGCTGCTACAGCACGCCCCAGCGAAGCTCCAACATCACCCAGGTGGCCCAGAGCATAGCTATAGCTCAAGTGCAACACCTCGACACATTTCCAGTCCACTGAAAAAGATGGCTGCAAAGGTTCGAAAATTGCGCTACTAGCAGAAGAACCTGCGACAGAAGCTGCAGAGGCGCGACAGGCGGTCCAAGTGCCTCAAAAGTACTCTGGATGCCCTCAAAGAAAGCCGGATCGTCGATGCCGAGCTTCTCGAGGTTATCCGATCTCGATTTGAAAACCCAATGGTGTCGGCGCTTTTCACCAACAAAGTTGTCGATGGTGGCAGGAAGAAGAGAAGTGGCCAGAGGTATTCAGGAGATATCAGGAAGCTCTGCCTCACCTTTCACTACCATTCCCCGAGAGCATATAGATTCCTCTCCAAAAACTTCTCTCTGCCGGGTGCAACATCGCTACGAGAGTGGACGAGAAGCGTCAGCTGTGAGGTGGGCGTCCTCCACGAGGTGCTACAGACGCTGTGCTGTGAAGTGACAGCCACGAAAGTCGACCCCAACTGCTGCTTGATGGTTGATGAGATGGCAATCCGAAAGGCGAAGGTGTACTCGCAACCCAAAGACAAGTTCGTTGGTCATGTTGATCTGGGTGCAGGGGACGTGGAGGACACGAGAATGGCAACAAATGCCCTAGTGTTCATGGCCGTCGGTCTCAAAGGTGTGTGGCGCCATCCTGTCGCCTACTTTCTCACAGACCACATTTCAATTGAGACTCAGACAGAACTGGCCAAGACTGTCCTGTGTGCTTTGAGCGATGCAGGACTGAAGGTGCGAGCATTCGTGGCCGATGGATTCCAAGCCAACCTGTCCATGTTCGGCCACTTGGGCGTTCAGAACCTGCAGCCAAAACAACTTCAGCTTCCCATTGTTCCTAACTACTTCCTGCATCCTGCAACCAACCAGAAGGTGTATGTTCTACTGGATGTGGTGCACATGCTGAAACTGCAGCGAAACCTCCTTGGTGAATACAAGAGCTTTCAGCTGGATGGTGAAGAGGTATCCTGGAAGTATATTCAGGTAAGAGCAGCATCTGAAATTTGCTTTCAGCTCTTGGGGAGGGAGAACAAAAATGTTATGATCACGGCTTGCAGAGAGAACAAAATATATTCCTAGCAAATTTACACTATATCCACAGCTGACATTTTGGGACCATGGTATGGTAAGAGTGACAGCAGATGCCAAGCACAGAAACACTGACTAGGCTTATTCATAACCACAAAAATTGCAGATGAGCTCACAATTCTGAAAGTTTCCAACTGTCTGAAAGGCAATCTTTTAAATAAATTATACTAATGCAACAGGCATGGACAACTATAACACAATGTATATCAAATGCTGCTGAATGTAATACATGTTCTGCTGAATGTAAGGCATAAATGCCAAATGTAACACATGCTCTGCTGAATGTAATACACAATCTCTGCTGAATGGTACATACTCCTTGCTGTTGAGCTGAATATAAATACCCAATGACGTCACAAACCTAATCAAGCCGACAATTTCCCGGGATTCCACATGGGCCAACTTAAATAAGACGTAAGTAATAGCTTTCGTCCTCGGAAAATTATCGAAACAACGCCTATACGTTAACTCGGAAACAATAGCACCTCTGATTGTTTCGACAGAGGCATGCTGCCAAAGTATCAACACTCTAAATTTGCACAGTCGGTTTTCCGATGAGCCAGGTCTTTTCAGTCTTATCTGTGCGCACAATGTTCCTCGCAAACGCATCTCACAACTTACCCAACCTAGCCTTTTCCTTACTAACGTGGCAGGGAATTTTGTCCCATGCTCAACTGGTCGACCGGTCAGCTGACTAGTCTACCCGCGACCAATCAGCGCCATAGCCTGACGATGTAGTGTGCTGCGGACATCGTCGCCGGTGCGAGATCGTAACTACTTTAATTTTCAAAGGTTTTGATACAATTCATTGCTTTCTGATTACGGTGGATGCATTGTGGTTTAAAAAGACCATATACAGCCGCCTTATGTGGATAGTTCCATTCTGAAATGAGACGAAAGTCTCATTTTACGCACCCTTCGGCGATCAAACATACATTGCATATGGTCACATCCCTCATCCGCCGCAGCCACAGAAATTTGAGCTGTGTGGCAAAGCCTGCAAAATTCGAGCACTTCTGTTGCACCGGCATTGCCTCGCCTTACCGCGCGTAGGCGGTGCGGGCAGAATCCGGGTCATCTGTCCACGCGCGTAAGAATGGGCGTCATGGCATGTCCATGTCCATGTATGTCCCATGGGTGTCATGGTAACCAATTATGTTGGGTACTGCGACATAAGAAAGCGACTTCAGAATTGACTTAAATGCCTTTAATGCCTCACCTTCGTGCATTCGCTTTCTCCTGTCCACGTTCTACGCTGCACCACATCCTGTCGCGGCCAAGCACCACGTTGCCGTCCTTTTATATCGCGAGAGTTGCGATGGGTATAGGTGACGCCACCACACCTCATTTCGTGTTTTTTCAATACAAAAGTACGCACGCATGAAGTATGTAAGCTAGCAAATATAGGTAAGGTAGAAATATCATACGGCAGAAGAACATATGCTTTCCACTTCCGATTGCAAATGTGGTAGGGTTATCTGCGCTAGGGTATTCAGCGTCTCAACAGCCTTCGTAAATCTTGCATAACATCTTGGGAGGAAAGCGTCTTTGCCATGCCCCGGGGTACGCGTGCCAGCAGTGCCAGCTGCGATGTCATCAATTCTGTCGTCTGGTGCGTTAGCGCTTGGTGTATCAAGCATTGTGGGGCTGAGATCAGTGAAATGACTAGCAATTTCTGTCCATTCTCCTCTCACAATCGACGAATGAATGCCGTCCCCTGCCTGACGCGCGGTGGGCACAGCAGATTGTGAAAGAACATCTCCTGTATTACCAGAACCGGTACATGAGACGACTCCTTCAATGACAGACGAATCAACCGTTACATACATGACACTAGGTGATGTTATTGGTGTATTTTCACCAGTGACAACTGTCACACTTTCATCAACCCCTTGAAAAGACGTGCTCTGTTGGGGAAACGTTGGGCGTGGAGAAATTGATGCACATCTCATGTCATGACCAGCTTTTTCAATGAGAGAGCCAGCCACATATCGTGTTTTTTTAACGAGAATGTCATATTCCACCCTATACTTACATTTCATGTGGCTGGGCAAATTTTTGGCTATGACCTTAACGTTGCACGCGTAGCATTTGAGGGCGTTTATCCTTTTGTGCGATGAATAACTCGATCGAGGTTTAGGCATTTCTGCAAAGCAACGCCTATCCCAACTGTCCAAGCAAATGCCGATGGTATAATACTATCCGATACCTAGCCAGTGCCCTTACAAACGCTGGCAGCAAGGACTCCTCACCAGGTGGACGAGACGCACTGAAAAAGACATTGGCAATTAGCAATGCATCTCTGTCATGCTGACCTATTAACTTTGCACTGACCTGAGTGTGACTAGTCATACGTAATGTCGCACCCTGGGGCAAAGCACAACATTCAAGACACGGCAATATCAGCACATGTCGATTACAAACATATTACCACGCTGGACCATGTGTTACTGAACGACTTCGCCGTTTCAACACCCTTCATAGTACAACCAATAAAGGAGAAGGGACACCTATGACACCTATTTGATGTAATGTACAGAAGTTCATGCCACAAGGCAATCGGCGCAAAACTTAGTAGCAGCACAAAGAGCACATGTCATGTACACATCATTGTCGAGGGACCACAGAGCACCCCGCTGTCCATGCGGGCGGCGACATAGTGACGCTGGGGATATTGCGACACAAATGACAGTGAGATTTACAAACGCAACGCCGTAATCAATCCCACGCAGATCAATACGCTCACGAAGGAAAAACCAAGACCAAGGCGAGACGTGAAAAATAACCGACCGTGCATAACCATGATAAAATTGCCGAGATCCCGGGTGAAACGAAGTCAAATAGAGATGTCGTCAGCAAAATCAGATGTGATGCCAGGTGGATCAGGCGGACCAAGTTGTGTTGGGCCAATGAGTCCATACAACGCACGGCACAAATAGATTGACGCTTTTGTTTTATTGAATAGAAACCCCGCTTGCTCCTCCTTAGTCAACTGCCAGCTGACATTTCGATAGGGGGGGGGGGGGGGGGGCAAATCACGCACCCGCTTCCGACCGCAGATACGGCAATTGGAGAAGGTGATGTCCCGTTCAACTCAACTGTCGAGGGATCAGGGCGTGATATGTGGAGTTTCTCCCAGTAGTGTCACCAATGTTTTAGTCTTGGCGTTGGCATTTCAGGTCACCAATGTTTTAGTCTCGGCGTTGGCATTTCAGCTTGGAGTATGAGGCAGTGCTCTGACTGAAATGCCTGCCAACCTCTTACCCTTTCTAGATTTCGGAAAGAATCCCAGATTTAACGAATTTCATTCTGACATCAGCAAGATAATTCCTGTTGTTGGCTTGGTTTCTGGGGCACCTTTACTGTTCTTTCGGGTTCCACCTCATAGTCAGGCTAACGCTCGCCCTGACAGGGGGAGGAGGGTTTCCCCCTGGGTTTTCTGAGGGTATCTCTCCGGCATACCGTGAGATCGCATTCATATTCTCGGTAGTCTATGGTGGTTTTATTGTGCGTATTTTGACATACCAATGAACCTCTTACCTTTCCAAGCAGTGACCTTTTTAGGAAGGTAGCACGCCGATTTATGCCAGGCGCTGGCAGCAGGCGGCAACTCACGTATTCGTCGACCGCCCGCGGCGGCCCGACTCCGTTACATCAACGGAGCTCACCCCCATGAACATATGCCCAAAATGCATTAAACTGCATGTTAACTGCACTGCACCCAGTGTTATACAAAATGCGTGTGTACATTTCGTGTCGTTGCATGAACTGGCTTCATAAATGTCGGTATGCACAGCTGGAAAAGTGAGCTTTTCGGGGAAATTTGACCTTTGACTGGGCATAGTGAGAGCAATCATTGACCTAACAACCAATAATTGATTGCCAATCTCTGAAACTCGTTGAGAGCAATCAACTTGAGTTCAGTTCCGCGAGACTCTCCTTCTTAGCTTGGAAAAGGCAGGGGATCGTATTGACTCTCTGCCCTCTACAACGTCCACTACCACCAACATCAGCCGGCGTTATGGAACAGCGTGAATCAGGGCAAGGCTTCATGACAAAGGTATGCAAATCAATGCCTCGATCTCCGTTCCATTCTTCTGATGACTTACCTAACCAGCATATGACAGGGCGCTGACCACCTGAGTGACAAACACTCAAACACGTCAAACACTCGCCATGTGGTTGACACAGTAAGGGCTGCCAGCCAACGATTCGGCGCTGCTTAACTTTTGTATATTGTTTCCACGTTTAAGTTAGTCAGAGCCAACGAGCTGCTCTTGGGAGCACTTATTGGTGAACGAATAAACCAGGCATGTATGCAAATTAGGCAACTAAGCATTTTCCCCATGCTGCCATGTTGTCGGGGACAGGCCGACGAAACACTCTGGACCAACTAACAACTTATCGGGCGCGTGAGGCCAAAGACAACAATGTAAGCAGGGCCTCCACGCCCATAGTGTCCGCCGACACTGCTAACTTTACGGATCGAGGAGACCGGACTTCAGACTGTCAGAACAGAATTCATCTCGTGGAGAGGGAGGGGTAGGCTGTCAAAGTGGCCCTCATAAAACAGGAACTTTGCCTACAGGACGTGGGAGATGTGACTCGCGGGATGGGGCGAAGTTAATTGGGAGTACGATGAATGATTGTAGTATATGGCGATTGTGGGATGAATGAGCAGAACAGAAAACAAAACAACATATGATAAGGGCCAATAGGAACAACGAGAGCTCAACAGAGCGAAGGGATGGGTTTTTATCTCCATCTCAAATCAAGTAATGCTTAAGCCAAATACAAACTAGGAGAGAGTAGGCGACATTCTCTGCTGGCCGTAACGTAACCCAAGTCATGTCGGGCGGGTACAGCAGGGACCACTCAACAGACTTCTCCCAATATCATTTCCCAAGCTCAACCTCCACCCGGAGCAGTGACGTGACATTACCTAAATGTCTCTCAAGGAATTGCTCATCCTCACACATGAACAGCGCGGGTACAGCTCATTGCTCATCTCACACATTCTGAGCACGGAGTTCAGTGGTTCTTTGCAGGACGGCCAGGTTGCATGAACATATGGGTACATTACTGGCCCACAATGAAAAAGGTCATGAAAAACGAAATAAACACTGTCGCCGACTTCGCAAAGTGCAAATGGTCCAGAAACCAAATTAACAATAGTTACAAATATTGCAGAATATTGCAGCCATTCATAATGCAAAATAAGCACCAATGAGCCCTATGATTATCACAAACAGCCCCAGGAAAGATGAAGCCAATCAATGGTGAAATTGTGCGATTGCTCGAAAACTGCAGGACGTTGCAACACCGTCTGGGGGTTAAAAAAGCGAGATATATCCATAGCACCACCTCCATTATTCACACAACGCACGGAAGCTTCTATAAAGATGATTTGAGAAATCGTTGCAAAGGGTTGCTACGCATTGCAAAAACGATTAACGACGGTACAAAGCCAAATGGCGCCTAGAATCACATCCGGCCTACTCGTAAGTAGAAGCCCTCCAAGATAAAACCATGCATAACTGCAGTGCTGCGAAAACGTCGCACACTGCAAGCAGCACACCACGTTGCAACACTTCAATGGTACGTGATATTTAGCAATCATCCATTGTTATGCTTCACATAAGCTTATGTGATGATATACTTATACGTGATGTAACTTCGTACGACTAAGGCTGCTCAACTCGTAAAATTAATGCAATACAGACTCATCCATCCGGGATTAGAGCACGCGAATCGTAGATGGCTGAGCACTTAGACGATATTGCATGACAAGCTTAATAGCTACCCCATCCCTGGTGATTCCCAGATTCATATTGAGATATAATTGATATATCAGTTATAAGAAATTTGGTATCGTGATTACGAATCTTGAAATGTGAGTCTTGCACAAAGAGAATGAAACAGGATCCAGGAAGGTAGCTAAAAAACGATACAACAGATTCATGGATTAGAACTGGATGCAGACACACATGCAAACACACATGCATGCATGCACGCACAACACACCACATACGCACGCACGCACGCACGCACGCACGCACGCACGCACGCACGCACGCACGCACACACACACACACACACACACACACACACACACACACACACACACACACAGACCTGTTCACAAACTCCTTTATGCAGACAAAACCTGTGACAAGACCCACCAAATCAGGTGGCATATAGCAGCTGTACTACACTTAAGCAACATGACACATTAGAAAGTATATAACCAACAGCCATCAGTATGCAAACACTATAGATGCTGAGTACAATCCAGTAAAACTTACCTCAGAATTCCAGTAGGGCATTGAAGTTTAACAGCAGCTCTGTTCAGCAAAGCAAAATCTGAAGAAATTAAAACAGACTAACAATCTGCATTTTAATCACAAACCCTCAGCAGTTGTTATGTACCCTAAATTCTGAATTACTTTTGGGCAGAACTGGCATAAAAATGTCTGAAAGTAAATATAATTCAAACAATTTGTACAATTTGCCCTGGCCTGAGCTGGGTACACGGCTACACAAATGCTCTGGGTTGAGTGCACTCAAATCATGTAAGCATCCCAGCTGTGGATGGATTTTTTACAGACTGACATGATCACAAGTAAATTAGCCACTATCTGACATAAGTTTTAAGAAATTCATTTGCAAAATGAAAAATACTATCTTTTAACACTGAAGGACAGAGGATTTATGAAAAACGAGGACACATATCAAACATAAACTGCAAAATGACCGTGGCAGTCGAAGCACCTCCAAAATGAAAGATACTTCATAAGTGTGAAGAACATACAGCAACCTAGATCCCCAAAAACAGGAACGTAATAAGCAGCTATTGCAGCCTTTGCACGAGCACACGTTCCACGTCAGGAATCACTTGTCGCTAGGTACTCACCGATATGAATCTCCACTTGGCGCCTGGCGCTGTCGACTGTACGCGAACACGGACCAAGTCATACAGGCGCCGCCTGAGCCCTAAGGTAGGCCAAGAGCCGCTGGCCCATTACGGAGAACAGAGGGGGCCGCCGGCTGATGAGAGCCGGCCAGCCTGCGCGGCGAGTCGTCCAGACGCAAACAGTTCGAGAAACACGACCCGTACACGACCCAAACACGACACGACTCGGGCACGGTAACGCAGCCAACTCAGGCATAACAGGAAAAAGGCCGTAAACCCCCAACCACCACTCTGCGACTGCACCGCACGGCCCCGAACCACGGCTCCGTTCCCGGGAGACGACCGCACAGGGGAACAGTCTTCAACGACAGAAATGGCCCCAATTACTGCTTCCATTCTCTTTTAATGCTGCTTGGTTAGGACTTTGCCGAATTCTTAGAAATTATCCATTGGCAAAACCTAGCTTCAATAAAAAGGCAACTTAAACAAATCTACAAAATTATTTCACTTCAAAACCAATAGGTCTTCCCAATGGAGAACAAGGCATACCTATGTAGCTTTACACTCACATACAAGTTTAATGAGGCCGCTCCGTAGATTGATGACAACAATTACGTTCTTTCCTTCCATATCCCTTTTGTACGTTTTCATGGCGTATTCAGCTCGGATTTCTTGGTGGAATATACGCGTTCTCTCCAATGCTAAATCCTCCCCAGGAGCCAGACTTCGGAGCACATGATTCTGCGTGTCCGCACGAGTGTTTAGGATGCTTTGTGACGTCATTGTAATACCTTACATAGAATTTCTCATTCTGATAGCTTGACATGAAAATTGGATAAAGAACACATATGAAAAGTCTGAATCGCTTTTTTACTCCATATGTGCTAAGTCAACGTTATGTTTGTGTATGTATTTATATATCTCTAAATGCATTGCTTACTGTGACGTCATTTGTTTTCATATCAATTTAATTGTGTAATCCAGAAAAGTTGAATCATGTCGTGACAGCCGATCCCGTGTTATTTCTCCTCCTTGGCTATCCGCCCCGCCAGGAGAGCCGATTGTTTGCGGTTCGGCGTTCTGGCTTCCGTGTGGGGTAGGGAGTGTCGTCGGTAGACGGTAGGTGAGTTGAAAATATGCTGGTGAGCGGGGTCAGACCTGAGTGCGTAGTGCATTGTGAGGAAAGTTGTGTGCCATTGCCAATGTTGAAAATGATTCAGCTGAAACCCGCCAGCAGCGTGCCTCTTTCAGTCGTGGTGAGTGCGGCGCGCGGCCTTGGCGATTTTCGATGCCTTCACAGGCGCTGTACGACCTGCAACACAGCGGGAGTATCTGGGCGGCCAACAAGCTCTCTGGCCTGCACGTTCAGTACGAAAAGAACAAAATGAAAGTTAAGCCTGCTGCCCAGCTGTTCAGCAGCTTGGTGGGCAAAGCTCTGCTGTACCTAGAAGAGCCAGGCCACCATGAGTTCATCGGAGCGGGGGCAACGGCGCGCTTCATCCTGCTTGTTGATCAGGTATTCAACTACCTCAACAGCAGCAACCCATACGGGAAGGGCTTCAAGACTCCTGTAACTGCCAACAACTTGATGTGAGTTAAATTAATTAGCATTAAGAACAACCTGATAGATCGAAAGTGTGTGTTTTCTTTCCCCTAAGTAAATATATTAGGATTGCCAAATACCAGCTATCACATACACAGCATCAACAATCATGCTAGTGGAATGTTCTTTGAAAATGGCGTTGGCATATGGCGTGATGTGCGTTTGTGTTTGATCGCCCGTTATCCCCATAGGCAGATCAAGCGATAGGAGCAAAATGTCCCAAAGTGAAATGTGGGGCCAAATGTGGGGTGAAATGTGGAGTGGAAACGAGCACGATCGGGTGTGGTGAGTGCATTGGTGCACTTCTATGCAACGAGGACGACCCTCCGTCGCATGAAGTGATGGGTCTCGTAAAAGTGCGGGACGACGGCGGGCTGCTCATCCCGTCAGCGTCGACGCACGCGATCGTCACGACAGCTGAGCGGCATTTGACCGCCTTGCATAAGTGTGGTAGGATGGACCGAGCTGAACTGTCACTGAGTATCCAGTGCAATGTCCTGGCGCAGTTAATGACTGAATGAATGACAGCCACGAACTGTTCCCTGGTGTGCAAGACCACATGTTCGAGCCGCGAGCGGATGACTGCCATGCTGTGGTAATGGTAAAGCAGATCGTGGCCAGGTATCTGCGTGTCCGCCTCCATGCCTATGGACAAAGTGCTACAGTGAGTGGAATGCTCCGTACCCATGTGAGGCACAACCTGTACAAGCAGGTGCTCTTTGCACACCAGTAGTCAAATACATCAGTAAATACATGTGCTGGTGACCGCAAGTAGATTTACTAGTTATATAGTTTTGGGGCTGTAAGGTGCGTGGACATGCAAGTTCTGTGCATTAGCATTGTTAGTAGTACGGAGTACATACTCTGAACAACATAATATACTGTGCGTAGTCTTAGGGCTGTAATGTGTGTCGACGCGTAAGTCCTGTGCATTAACGTTGTCAATAGTACGGTGTACGTATTCTGAATAACAATATACTATGCGCATATCTCGGTGCCTACACAGCTCGCAGGAGTACCGAGCCGACGGTGCTGGACATAGCTTATATTCTTATAACGTACCAAATCGAGACATTAGCTCTGGTCTTATCTGGGTGTAGATGGGGACAGACCTATTCTCTCACGCAGGTGAACAGCATGCATGCAGTGCAGACAAGGGGATAACCATAGCCCGAACTTCAGCAACCCACCGGGGCAGTTACTTCGCCCATAAACAAAGACGGGAATGTCCTCAGTCTCCCAACAGGCTGATGCAAATGATGACATTGGCGTCAGTCGAAGTGCCGCCTGCGAAAAGATTCGCGCTTTGCAATGATTTTGGGTCGTCGATCCGACCTGGGAGAACCCAACTGTCGAATACATTTAAAGCTGAATAGAGTTGGCTAACATTCATGACAATTATCTTGCTCGGCTTTGCTTCTGACCATCTCAAGCCGAAGCCACAAGCCAGGAGAGGGTGATACGACTGGCCCGGCCCCTCCGCCCGCTAGAATGTTGCAAAGGACCACATCCGGATGAGGGTTAAGAACAACCGTTTCCAGCGTTGTCGTTATGGCATCTTTTCTGTCTTAGAAGGACCATCTGGTTTCTTCTGAGACCAGATATTACCTTGTCCCCCCCCCCTCACTTCCGCTGCGGCGCAAAATTGCAAAATCAGTATGCTTAGATCAGTCTGTCAAGCCGCTACCCATGACCTCAGAGCAACCTTTGCTGTGCCGTGTTGCGATGATGTCTTAAACAGCCCCAGAATTTTCAAGGCCCTCGCTCCCATCATTTCCCAATCACACGCCTCCGAAGGTCGGCCATCCGCCATAGGATTATCATTGCGAAGCTAACTCTTGCCCCTCTCCGCGTGGTGGCGCTAGTGTCGCAAGACAGGAACAATGGGCCGGTCGCCGCGCCAATGGGAGTAGGCCAAGGCCGTGTAATAAGGTATGATCATCCCGGGATTTCTCCCGCACTTTTTCTTCACCATTACAGTGATGTCACAAAGTCGCAGCCTAGCGTCGTCGCCCCGCCTGCATTACGTTCGCGTCTATCACACCGGTATACCTACGACCAAATGCATTTGGTGATTGCCGCGGGGCACTTCAAGAACCTTGTGTCCTGCTCACAGGTGGGTAGGTATTGCGTCGGCCTGAACGTACGCTGTGGGTTTGTGCCTAATAACCAGTGTTTGCCCGCGGCAGTAATCGGCCGAGAGATACATATTACATTTATTTTCTGAGCATTTTGGAAATAATTTCAACATTGCTCAATATTTCAGCATCATTCAACTCTGTGAATTAATGATTTCTGACATCGATATATGCTTACGGCCACTCATTAAATAATGAGATGTACATGGATGTTGATGTACCTATTAGTATAGTAGAAGCATGTAGTGATATATGTATATACATATATATATATATATATATATATATATACATATATATATATATATATATATGCATTTATACATATATATATACATATATACATACACATATATGTATATACATATATATATATATATATATATACATATACATATATGTATATATACATATTTTGTGTTATTTTTGACGACAGACAGACGAATCTCGCAGAACTTGCACGCTTGCTTTGCTGTGCGCTGGTGCGATATGGGTTGGAGTGTTGTAGGTGATCAGTAGAAATGGTGTTCTCGTATTGCTCTGGATCTAACACGGATTATACGCCTCTGTATGCCCCATCACACATCACGCTAATGATCTTCGCGATGTTGTTGTCAATCGACTAACCTGATCTCTGCTGCCGTTGCATGGAAAGTCAAGGGGCGCTGAAAAGTCAAATACTCCAAAATGACAGTCCAACCATGAACATGAGCTATCAACACCATAAAAGCGTATTAACAGTACACAACGAGCAATACCACATACTTGGCGATTCGTCAGACCCCAGCCGTACAGCCATTCTCGTCATTCCGATGCTCGGTTGTGCATAGGCTATTAGACACATGATGGGTCATCTGAACTCGAAATTACCTACCACAAATCAAATCAAGGTTAAGAACTTCATTCAAGGCTGGTTAACAATGCACGCTTCACCGCCTCAATGCGTAACTAGTCATTTTTCGTCATTCGTCATTTGCCTCCATGCGTGTACTGAGTCCCTGTACGCTAGTTTTTCCGTGTGGATCTGATTGTGTACAATCTGGGTCTATGGCTGGAAATCCCCTTTACATATTCCGCAGTGTTATTTCTACGTTTTACATAACTGGTGCCTCTGGCACGAGACGTGCGTGCACTGGCCTATGGTGTCTCTGCCCTCTCCCCACCCAGTCTCTAAGCGCACGCCTCCTCAAAATTAACGGACACGCACCATTCGCTCCCTCTCTCGTGGCGCATCATGTTTAATGCCGACAGTATCAAAATACTCTGGCATTTGACGGGGTGTTGCTACATGCGGTCCGCTGCTAGACGCCTAACGCCTACTCTGTCGCGCATCATACTTCAGGAGGATTCGCAATAAGCACCACAAAACTGTTCTCTGCTGCCCTTGCCCTGAGCACACCTCCATTACTAAAGACTTCGTAAAACAGTGGAGCGAACTGTACTTTTGCAAAACTTTTGCTATCTCACCCACATTATACATTCCTGTATTATTGTTATACATTCCTCGGTCTTATTCGATGCTGGGTTCACCGCAATCTGGCCTATGCTGTTACGGCGATCGATGGCCTTGGCCGATCAGCTGATCGTTCGCGCCATTTTCGTTCGCGCCAAATCGCCTGTCGTCAAGTGCGTCAAGTGTCGTCACTTTGGCGCGGGTATGAAGATGTTCTAATTGGTCGGGCGGGAGAAGTTTCAAAAGCGTCAAAGTCAATCACCGGACCGGACTGCGGACAGATGGAGATCTGGCGCACTGGGTTGGTCTTTGGAGGCGGGATCTAGGTGAGGTCAAGCAAGGAGCAAGCAAATATGGAGGAAAGCGAATATATCGCCTGCTGTGACTGTAATTATAACAACATAACAATTAGCTTGTCACGAAGCATCATTGCTTATACTCAGTGCAGCAATAACAAAGTGCATGACGCAGCAAGAAGAGTCACTTTCGAGAAGCTTCACAAGAGCACAATGCTGGCACCTTTCGCTTACGGGGACGCTTCCATCCGGAATTTAATTCACTTGAGCTACCATGACCTTTAAGGTCGGCACTAGACCACTCCTTGACGCTAAGTCTGATGCGTGACGTAGCCACATGTTCAATGAGTAGCGAAATGCATTTACATGCATATATATGGCACACCTGTCTGGGAAGGTTTTTGCCGAGTGGTTTATATATATATATATATATATATATATATATGTATATATATTTATGTATATATATATATATATATATATATATTTGTATTTATTACTACATGCTTTAATGACAGATTACATTTATGCGCTTTTCATTATTCAGTGAGGAACCGCAAACATATACAGATATAAGAGGCCATTAACCCGTAGAGTTGAATGATGTTGATAAGACAATAGTACCTTATTGCTCGCAGAAAAACCAGGACAATGGAGATATGGTTCGGTTGAAATTTCGGCACCATGTCTCTATTGAAACAATAGCAGAAGTTTGCTACTGCTCTTGCTTTTTAATTGCTATTGCTATTGCTATTTGAAGGTTGCTTCTGCTATCGTTTCGATAAAGTACCTTGCCGAAATATCAACCGAACTATATCCCCATTGTCCAGGTTTTTCTCCGAGGAATAAGGCCAATCCTCCGTCTTATCTATGTGAGTAATGTTCCTCGCTAATGCACTTAACAACACGTAATTCTGAATGATGTTGAATGATGATGAAATCATTTTAAAAATGTTCAGAAAACAAATGCTGGTTATTAGGCACAAATGCACAGCGTACGTTCAGGCCGACGCAATACCTACCCGCTGTGAGCATGACACAAGGTTCGCATGCAGCTATATGTGAATGTCATGAAACGTGTCCTTGTTTTACAAATTTAGTATAATAGTCACACATGACATGAGAAAGAAGCCATCACCTTTGGGACGGGGAAATCAATCACGTTGTGCCTTTTTGGACTGTTAACGTACAAACGTAGGATCTCTACGTTTCATGGCACTCCGCCCCCACCCACCCCCGTTCCAAAATTTTTAACATTTACCCCATGCAACCAATGAAAAATTAAATTCAAAATGAGTATGCGTGACACCTTTTTTTGAG